TGGGAAGAATTACTCCAAGAGCCAAGAAAAATTGAAAACCTGGGGGCAAATCTGGCCATTGGAGCCACCTGAGCCCCAGCCACAACTGTGAGTCCAGAGGAGGTAGACAAGAATCGAATGGCAGATGCGGTCACTGATTAAGGAAAGAGCAACAGAATTGTGGCTGCCAGGAGAGGCAGCCAAATATTCCTCCTCTGCATTTGCATGGCCCTAAGAGTGTGTGTGGACAACTCACAGTGCAGCCTCACTATGAGCAACCCCATTTTCCAATCCTGGACCTGATTACTGCTTATGGGCACATGTAGATGTGAGTGAAAGTTATCTCTGGGGGCATTACTCATAAACCTCAAATTATTTTTGCATCTGCTTTTCTAGTATAATATCCAGTATATAACAAAAATAACTATTTGAATGGGGAGCCACGACCCAGACTGGTGCAAACAGGAGATGATAGGAATAGCAGAAGACTCTGAAAGTTGCAGTCACACATACAACCGTGACAAGAGCTTTGGCTCTGAGTAGTGGGAGAGGTTGGAGGAGTTGGAAGTGCAAGCTGGATGTCATCTAGGAGCATTAAGAACACTGTGGTGAAGGCTCAGGAGTAAGTGCTATGGGGCAGCCCAGATCTTCTGAGAGATTTCTTAAGTGGCTGTGATTGGAACGTTGGTAGAAACATGGGTGGCAAAGAAAATTCTAACGATACCTTAGATGGAAATGAGGAATGAAGTATGCAAATCTGGAGGAAAAGGCCATCCTTGTCACCCAATGACGGTGAATTTGACAGAATTATGTCCATGCCCTGGTGCTGGGTGGATGGCAGAGCTTAAAAGCAATGAACTAGGGTATTTGGTAGAAATTTTTTAAATTTTTGAGCAAAGTGTTGAGGGGGCTTTATTTCTTATTGCATAACGAAAGACTGAATTTATAATACAAAGAGAAGCTGGGTGTGGTTGTACAAGTTTTTCATCCCAGCTGCAAGAGAGGCTGAGACAGGAAGATCGCCACCTGTAGGCCAGCCTAAGCAAGTTATAAGAACTTTCCTCAAAACAGAAGCCGGGATAGGATGCGTAGTATGTGCTTAGCATGTGGGAGGCCCTGGGCTCAGTCCTCAGTAACACACACACACACACACACACACACACACACACACACAGAGTCAAACTTAAAGATTTGGAAAACTCTCCACCTGGCCATATTAAAAAATGGGCAGGCCTAGGAGAGAAGATGAAGGGTGTGACCCAAGCTAACCTTTGATAAGGAGGTCAATGTGACTAGAAGCCAGATGCTGTTGTCACGGCAAGGAAAAATGAGTCAAAGCCTTGGCAGATATTAAACGGATTGCAACACCCATCACAGGCCTGAGTGCCTGAAGCAAGAGTTTCAAGGGAGGGACCTAATGTCCTAGAGCTCCTTGCCCAGGGCTGTCTCTTCTACTCTGCTCCCACAGTCGGGTGTGGCACTCCTTAGTTCTGCTGTCCTTCAGGAAATCCTTGATGACATCAGGAGGTGCCAATTCTGCAAACCATCGTAGTGCTTGAGGTAGAACAGCGTGGTTGATTCTACCTGGATTTCAAGGGAGGCCTTGAGAAGGCCAGAGAACTGGAGACTGGCCACAGAGGTGGCGCCATCCCAGGGCAATGCTATTGGAGCCAAGGGTTACTCTACTGAAGAGGGTCCCCATGGTTTAGCGGAGCTGAAAGACAGAGCCTCCCCCAGACTCCAGAACTGCAGAGCTACTGTTGTATCACTGGATTCCAGCCCATGAGGGCTGCTGCATGAGCTCCACTTAGCCATCATGAAGATGGGGTCCCAACCACCCTGAAATGTATTTAAGATGTGGAAAACAGGGTGAGATGTGATTATTCTCAAGCCCTGAGCTTTGATACTGCCTGGGGTGCTGGGCTTTGGATCTTTGTGTGGCCTACTGTGCCTTTTTTTCTTGCTTGCCACTCATATTTATTTGAATGGGAACATCTATCCTAAGCTGGTCCCACCACCTTATTTTGGAAGCACCTAGCTTGTTTGATTTTGCAGGCCAACAGCTGTTTAGCTCATTAGGAATCATTCTTTGAATCTCAGATCTGAATTTGATAATACTGGAATAAATGAAGTTGGGGGCTAGGGGGAGCTGTTGGAATGTAATAAATGCATTTTTATGTGAAAGGATACTGTTTATTTATGTTATAATAAAATTCTTGAGGCTGGATAACAATAAAGTTATGAAGGTTGAAGAGCCAGCATCTAATGATGGTCTTCGGGCTGGAAGAGTACCAAGGAGGCAAAAGGTATCATATAAAAAGAGACAAGCGCATACGTGTGTCTCTTCTGGCCTCTCTCTGTCTTATAAAGCCTCCAATATTCAATCATCAGTACTCCTACCTGTCCTGGGAACCTGATATAATCTTAACCACTTCCCAAAGCGCCCACCTCCCAAGCACTACACTCAAATGCTCTTCTACCTTCCTGATACTTTACAATGTAGATTATGTTTCAACACATGCGTGCTCAGGAGACATACTCCAACTATAGCTGAACTATAGATTTGAATTTGGGGGGATCAGGGATGGAATAGGACACTGGCTTGAATGTTTATGTTCTTTTGAAATTGTATATTGAAATTAAACTAATTGTATTAAGAAGTCCCTTGTGGATGGGATTAAGGCCCTTATAAAAGAGCTATTCAGTCGGGTGTGGTGGTGCATGCCTTTAATTCCAGCACTTGGGAGGCAGAGGCAGGTGGATCTCTGTGAGTTCAAGGCTAGACAGCATGGTCTACATAGTGAGTTCCAGGTCAGCTGGGGATACAGTGAGACCCTGTCTCAAAAAGACCAAAGTGTAATAAAATAAATAAATACATGAACAAAGAGAATGCTGTTATAAGACACTGACCAAAGCCAGCTTGGGGAAGAAAGGGTTGATTTCATTTTACACTTCCAAGGCACGATCCATTTTTGAGGGAAAGAAGTCAGGCAGGAACTCAAAGTAGGAACCTGGAAACAGGAACTGAAACAGAGATCATGGAAGAGAGTTGCTTACTGACTTACTTCCCTGGCTTTATCAGATAAGCTTTCTTATACAGCTCAGGCCCACTTACCTAGGGATAGCACCACTCACAGTGGACTGGGACCTCCTAAATTAAAAAAAAAGAAAAGAAAGAAAGAAAATGCCCCACATACTTACCTACAGACCAGTCTGATAGAGGAAATTCCTCATTTGAGGTTTCCTCTTTCCAGTGACTCTAGCTTGTCTTAAATTGACAAAAGAACTAGCCAGTACAATCCCCTATGAGACTTGCTTCACTGGGACCAAGAATCATCCTTCACTGCCCAATGGATGCAGAAGTGTCTCACACCCATGGAGTCTGATGACTCCACGCACCCTGTCACCCTCAGGCCAATGGCGCTATTGAAGGATGAAGCAGGACTCTTAACAGCAACTGAAGGTGGGACAGCAAATGATCTGCTAGTGGGGTGGCATTATCTGACCAGGATACATGGACACCAAGCCCTGCACTTCAGCATATGGAAATGTCCTATAGCACATACTGAGGGGCACTGAGCTTGTGGATGGAGGTGGCCAAGCAACTACTTGCCTGCAATCTCAGTCTTGGTGTATCAGCCACTCTGTCCTTTGTGCCTTCAGAGTGCACATCCTGGGGTGGCTTGTGAGTCAGCCCCCTCCCCACCCTGCTCCCACACTCCAAACAGGAGTGCTGACTGTGCCCTGGTAATGATTCTTCTCTGATGCCTTCCCTCAATGGGATCCAGTGGGTGGAGATGGAACCAAGGGATGCCAAGGTGCTAGGCCCCCTCCAGTGCCACCAGGGCCACCAGGGCCACCCTCTGATCCATCTACATGATGGCTGACATTGCACCTGGCAAGATCTACAGGATGTGACTTTCCTTTCTTGAACTGGGTTGATGTATAAAGGTCAGCTTTTCCTCAAACTTCTAATATATGCATTGATTTAGGAAGTGTTTTTGTGTTCTATTTGATCCAAATTGTTCGGGTTCAGGTGAGCAGAAATATAGTGTCACAGAAAAAGTAATGCAAATTCAGAGCACTGTTTTCTCTAGTTTATAGGTCTTAGGTTTATTTGCTTGTTTGTTTTGCTTTGAGGGCTTTTTTTTTTTTCTTTCAGGTTAGTGCTGTGAGAGGGACCCAAGTTCTCTCCCAGGAAGCTGCCTTTCCTGCCCCCTGTCTTTTAGCTTGGTGTTTGGGCTTTTATTTTAATCTTTCCTGACTTTCTGACTCTGAGGGAGTTCTCTAGTTCTGTGGGAAATGGTAGTGAAGTTACCAGTTCTGATCTAATCATGTCTCCCTAACTATGGCTGTTCCTTCATTCTAATAAACTATGAAACACTATACAATTTTAGTTATTAAACTCTTGCCATTGTTTTCAAACTGGAGAATTTTTTTATCAACTGTTAGTGCAATCTTCTTGTCCCTTTTCTTTTTGAGAGGTGTGGGGATGTGGCATGTGTGTTCATGTTCATGTGTGTGAGTGGGCTCATACCTATGTGTATATGCATGTGTTGAGGCCAGAGGCTGGACATCAGGTGGCTTCCTCTATAGGTCTCCACCCTACTTTTTGAGACAAGGTTTCTCAGTGAAGTAGGAGCTCAATGATTCCACAAGACTATCTGGCCAGCGAGTTGTGAGTTCTGAGTTCCTCCTAGGGATCAGCCTGTCAAGGGTGCTCTTTGGAACTGATATTATGTCGTCTTATCCCGGCGCCTTTGTTTTCTCCTGTCCCCCGCACCCCACAAAAGGAGATCCTAGCGTTTGCAGTGTACAAATGGAATTCAGAAGGCAATCATTGCCCTATAGGTGACACATATCACCTCGGCCATTCACACCTTAGCAAGAAAGTTTATTAGGCCTCTGCCACAGATGGATAAGGAAAAGCCTAGACCTGAGAAAAGTACTGATCCTCCCAGGAAACCAGTGCATAGGATCCGCGCAAACTGCCGCTTTTACTTTGCCAGCCCTGCGAGCTAGGTTCGAAGGCAGTCACCAAGGAAAACAGCCTCCACCCGGCCGGCCTGCCAGGACACTCCCCTTCCGCTTGTTATAAGGACTCTGGCAGGCTCCAGGCGCTTCCTTCCCAGCCTACACCCAGCCTGAAGTGGACCTGCAGCATAGTGGGTAAGGCCCGTGGGTGGTGCAGGGAGCTGGCGAGGGCGGGAGGGGCCAGACCTCTCCCGGCAGATCCCGGAACCCCGGGTCGCCGCCACACCCTCATCCCGGCAGCTAGTGGAGACAGGCCCCCTGGGGGCTTCGCGACAGACGACCTCAGATCCCCAGCACCACCCTGTGACCCAGCCAGGAGCTGAGCAACTGGGAGCTAAGCTGGAGATCCCTCCGCCTCCTAGCTTTTCTTTCCTCCAAGTGGAGGGATAAGTCCTCAAAGCCCTGTGGGGCGGATCCTTTCTGGAGCCTGGAGGGGAAGGAGGGATGCTAAAGTGCTGTAGGCAACAGCGACCAGACTTGGTACCCTCTCTAAGCAGCCTGTGCTTGGGCAAACTGAGGGTCTGAGCCTAGATGGGTCCCTCAAAGCCCTGTGGGGCGGATTTCTGGAGCCTGGAGGGAAGGAGGGATGCTAAAGTGCTGTAGGCAACAGCGACCAGACTTGGTACTCTCTCTAAGCAGCCTGTGCTTGGGCAAACTGAGGGTCTGAGCCTAGATGGGTTAGTGGGAGGTCCATATGGAACCCCTAACCAGCGCCTAATCTATTGCAAAAGGGACAGAGTACAGCGTCCCCGTCCTCCCGCCCCCCAGCCTGATGCTGGATTTGTGAGATTCTCAAAGTCGCATCACCTAAGCCAGCTTTGAGACTGGAAGCTTGACCTCAGGCATGGGCAACCAAATCTCAAAAATGAGAGTGAATATGTTGTTATCTTTGCCAGAATTTGACTGCAGGGTGGGTTGCTATGGTTTTTAATAGGATCCTTCATATTCTCCATAAATTTAATGGAGTCACTGCCCAGATGAATGAGGGACTTGAACCAGAGACAGAGATATGAAAGCTCTAGTGGTTTAAAGGCTGTGCAATGTGGGGTCTGTGCCAAGGTCTCGAGCCTGGTCTCTCTTCAGACTCACCCATCTGTAAGGTGACACCCTGGGTCCTGTATCACTGCCATAAGTCTGGCCCCAGTTTTGTGTGCCTGTGGGAGTATTCTTGGCCTCTTGGAAAAGGTGGAGGACAGGGGACAAGTCTAAGCTGCAGGGTCTTAGAGTGTCTGGCAGCGATGAGGTCTATGAGTCTTGCTGGTGTGGCAGTGGACAACACTGGTCTCCTCTCTGCCTTACAGGCTTCACCATGGAGCAGCTGAGCACAGCCAACACCCTCTTCGCCTTGCAGCTGTTCCAGACGCTGAGTGAAAACAACACCACGGGAAATATCTTCATCTCTCCCTTCAGCATTTCATCGGCCATGGCCATGGTCTTTCTGGGGACCAGAGGTGTTACTGCTGCCCAGCTCTCCAAGGTTAGCACAAGCAACACTGTCCTGCTCCCCAGACTACCCCCTGGCTCACTTTTGAGCTCTTCGGTGTGTTTCTTAACTGTGTTCAGCTGAGTCTGATTGTTAGCCATGATGCTGTCCGACTATCAGAAAAGCCCCAAGAACAGCTGCTCCTTCACCCACAGCTCTTAACTGAGCACCAAGCATGCACAGTGTTTTTGTTCTGTTGGGAACACACAGAGAACAAAGCCAACAACAACCCTACAGGCTGGTGCTCCTAGTCCCAGGAAGGAATCTGATAGCTTTCTATAAACCCCCAACCTCCACAGGCCACCATTTCTTGTTTTTGCTGTGCATGTGACCACACTACCGGTACATGATACCTATTCTGTAGTGTCACCTTCAAACACAGAGAAATGAGACAGGGAAATGCACTACAGTGGGCAGGTTGGTGTTGTTGCTTGTTTTCAGGGACAAGGAAAAAGACAACCATGTGTCTGTGTTCCTGTGGTTAACCCTGTGCCTGTCTGAGGCAGACCTGAGTGGCTGTGGCCCTGCACGAAGATGCATTGGAGAGGCCCAGTGGCCTGAGGAACAGGTTCAAGCCACTGGTGAGGTGGGAGACAGCAGGTCCCCTTTGCCCTCTCTGCCCCTCACCCCCAGCCACCTGCTTCCTTAAAGGGGTTGGAGGGGACTTCTGGCCTCAGTGTTCTTTGATTCTAAGAGAACTCAGCCACTTCTGGAGGCCTCCATAGAATGGGAACATTGTTTTCCAGCTGACCTGTGCTGTGCTACACTGTACCTGTCACTGGGTGCTTTCTTGCAAGGTTGCAGATGCTCTGATTTTGAGGCTTTACAGGGGCTTCTAACTTCGGGAAAGACTAGTCTTAAGGATTTCTTCTACCACATTTCCATTAAAGTAGGTGAATCACAGTTACAAGAAGTCATGGCCTATCTCACTGAATAGCATGGACTTAGGACCCTGTGTAGTTTCTGTTCTTTGTGTCTTAAAAGTAGGGAACCAGCCCAGACCTCATAAAACCATAAAGGGCCTATTGATTTGAAACTGACAGGTGGGGAATTAAACTTGTCAGAATAAGTTTAAAGAAGTTCTTTTTAAAGGGATTAAGTTGTGGGTGCTAGTTCAGTGACCACAGAAAAAGGCCCTGATCAGTCATATCATTGGGGTCTTGAATACAGGATGATTCTTATTTTCAGTTTATTTCTGAGAATTTTCAGCACAACTATACATGGTACACAACATCAATATGCACCATTTAAGTCTTTCTTGGGAGAAAAAAAGCAGACATAAATATTTAATGTGTCAACCATTTACACTTATGAAATTATACCAAAAGTGATGCAAAATCCATTTCTAATATAATTATTATGCCTCATCTAGCTATAAGTCTTGGATTTCATTTTGTTTGTCCTCCCAATAACACATTGATAAAATAGTAGGCTGCTGCTAATTGGTATTAGGAATAAAAACATTAATTTGATGGACACAGACACCAAGGAACCACTTTTTAACTTCAAGACAAATAGTTGCATGAAGAATATTTTCTTTATTTTAGACTTTTCATTTCGATGCTGTTGAGGACATTCATTCAAGATTTCAAAACCTGAATGCTGAAGTCAGCAAACGCGGAGTCTCCTATATTCTGAAACTTGCTAACAGATTATATGGCGAGAAAACCTACCACTTCCTTCCTGTGAGTACCTGGCACTTCATATTCTGAAACTGGCATATTCACATTCAGCATCCATGTAAAAATCTAGGCTTGGCCACATACTCTCCTGTAACCCCAGAACTGTAAGGAGCGGAGACAAGAGGATCGCTGGGGCTTGTGGGTAGCCAGCCTACCTCCAGGTTCAGTGAAAGACCTGGGAATAAGGGACTAAGGCAGAAAGTGATAGACTAGGACACCTGACGTCCTCCTCTAGCCTCTACAAATACACACACACAGATCACACAAACACACACACACGCACACACACAGAGCAAAAGCAGATCTGATAATTCACTTTTAAGTACAATCAGTATTTGCTGATGTTTAAAAATGCTATTATAAGATTCAAAATGAATTAGCAACCTTTATATAAAACCAAAAGTCTGAGCACTACACTACTGAACTTATCCTTAAAATTGGTTAGGACAGTAAATTTAATGGTGTGTCACATGTTTTGTAATGTGTTTTCAACACAATACAAAAGTATAAGGGTTAGAATTTTTGTTTTACAATAAATTAAAAGTGGCCTTTTGCAACAATTTTTTTTTTTTCTTTTCGGGATTTTAGAAAAATCCTGTAGGGAATAAGAGTTGTTCATGAAAATTCTATTTTTTTTAAAAAATAGGAGTTCTTGGCTTCAACTCAAAAAATGTATGGTGCTGACTTGGCCAGTGTGGATTTTCAGCATGCCTCTGAGGATGCAAGGAAGACCATAAACCAGTGGGTCAAAGGCCAGACAGAAGGTGAGAGACTGGACAGCATGGATATGTTCGTTACCATTCTCTTTCTGTAGCTCATACCTGAGATTCTCGGTGTATAGAGAGAAAAGGTTGATTTTTGACTCACAGATTGGAAGGTTTCGATCCATAACCAATTGGCCCCATTGCTTTGGCCCTATGGACACATTGTGCTTCATGGTAGGTTAATGTGGCCGAGGAGGCCCGCTTACCTCACTGTGGCAACTGAAAAGAGAGGAAGAGACAGGAAAGAGGAACAGAGAAGTATTCCACAATCCTTTTCAGTAGCACCCCCACTATGCTGAGTGTGTTGACACAAGCCTGTGATCCCAGAACTTGAGATGCTGAGGCAGGAGGATTGCCATGAGTTTACACTGTAAGACCCTGTCTCAAAGCAAAACAAAACAAAAAAAAGAGCAAAGTCCTCAGTGACCTAAAGACCTCCCATGAGGGCTCCACTTCTTAAAGGTTCCATTGCCCCCCAATATGATTTGGGCTGAACACCAAACCTTTGTAAGATGTGGGTATTTGAGGGACCCTCCCAAACCCTAGCGGAGCCATCATGCACAGATTCTTTCGTGCCACCCACCCTCTCCCTGGCATCGCATTCTTCCTCCCTCAGCTTCCCCAACCCTGATCTCTCACATTGACATTCACATACTGTTCCCTAAAAAAATTTTGCCACTGCTCATTGCTGGACAACTTTCACATGTCAGAAGTGAGTCAAAGGAGACATGTAGACACGATTCACTGCAAGCAGCCAAGTACCTCTTCCCATAGTTTCCCCTAAACTACCATTTAAAGTTAAAACCAACACTGAATATACAATACAAAGAATAAAAATGCCTGCCCTAAAGTGTTTAATGGCCACATGGAAAGAAATGGAATGAGAAACTTCATGTAATCCATGAAATCACTGTCTACAAACATTGCAGTTGAAATAATTTTTGTCAACATCTTGTCTAGTAAGTCAGAAATAGTGTGGTAGGGGAGCGACTCACCCCCAGGGCTCAATTCAGCAACATAATTCTTCTCTCCTCCATCACTTTACTGTGTGAGTCAGCGCACCCAGAGGATACCTGCCTGGCATTATATCAGTTGTTCCCAACAGTGCCTGGGGCTGTGGGTATAGTTAGCTCTCTTTCTTTTTCTTTCTTTCTTCGTTCTTTCTTTCTTTCTTTTTTTCTTTTTCTTCCTCTTCCTTCCTTTCTTTTTTATTTTGTGACTGCCCATTCTTTTAATGATCCTTTACAAAATAATGCTCATTATTTCCACATAATTAAGGAAAGGAGAAATTCCTTGTTTTAAGTCTTTGAAGATATTTGACTTATTTTAATGATTTTTTTTAATCGAGTCTCACTATGTAGCCTTGAATGGTCTGAACTTGCTATGTAGACCAGGCTGGCCTCAGACTCACGGAGGTTGGTCTCCTTTACCTCCAGAGTGCTGGGGTTAAAGGTGTGCTCCATCCAGTCAGGCAGAATGACACTTTATTTTTCTGGCTCTGGAGATGGAACTTAGAACCTCAGGGTATTCTGGGCATGAGCTGTCCCAGTGAACCTTGCAAGTTGACTTGTTTAAAATAAAAATGTGTCAGTGAGTCTTTCCTAACTTAACACCAAGTTAAAATCAAATATTGCATCACATTTTAGAGATAATACTCTATCAGTTCAAATTTAGAATTCCAACATGGAATTTTGAAAAAGACTGCTTAATCTTTTCAGGGAAAATTCCAGAACTGTTACCTTCAGGTGTGGTTGATAACATGACCAAACTTGTGTTGGTGAATGCCATTTACTTCAAAGGAAAGTGGGAGGAGAAATTCATGAAGGAGGACACAACTAATGCACCGTTTCGACTGAATAAGGTCAGGTGGTGCCACTTTCCAAAACTTCTCTTGGCTGTGTGTGTGTGTGTGTGTGTGTGTGTGTGTGTGTGTGTGTGAGCGCTGGGCCTCTCCCATGTTAAGCCTGTGCTTTACTGCCTAGCACGTTACCTTGAGCCCCAAATTCTTCTTACTCTTAAAGACCAGAGAGAATAACCTGAGTGATTTCTGTAACCATTCAGAAAGACACAAAGACAGTGAAGATGATGTTTCAAAAGAAAAAGTTTCCATACGGTTACATCCCAGAGCTCAAGTGCCAGGTACTGGAGATGCCTTACCAAGGCAAGGAGCTCAGCATGGTCATCCTGCTGCCTGATGACATTGAGGACGCGTCCACCGGTCTTAAGAAGGTAACTGGCTCATAATGCCGTGACTCGTGTTTCCTTTTACTCTATTGATCCTCCCTGTGTGAACACTGCACAGTAAATGCTTTTATATATCCACTGATTTTTTATTTTAATTTTTGGTAGCCTCCCTGTATCCCTGGCTGGCCTAGAACTCCCTATGTAGACCAAACTGATGTCGATCTCATAGAGATCCACTTGTCTCTGCTTTCCAAGTGCTGGAATCAAAAGCGTCTGCCACCGTGCCTGGCATATTCACTGATTTTTTAAAATTTATTTTTTTATGCGTATGTGTGTTTTGCTTGCATGAATATAAGTGCACCATCTGTGTGCAATATCTGCTGAAGCCAGAAGAAGGTATTGAATCCCCTGAAACTAGAGTTACAGGTGGTTGTTAGCTACTCTGTGGGAGCTGGGAACTGAGCCTAGGCCCTCTGCAAGAACAGCCAGTGCTCTTAACCACTGAGCCATCTCTCCAGCCCTGTATATCCACTGATCTTACTGGAAGTTCTTTGCCAGTAGTCTGCCATTTTTGTCAACATAGTCCATCATTGCTTGCTTTTCTGAGGCCCCACATTTATTCCATCATGATCAACATCATCGTCATCATCATCATCATCATCATCATCATCATCAATACCCAAGATCTTGTGCATTCTGGGCTACAGTTCTAATCCTGAGCCACACTCCCAACCCAGAAGCCTAATATATAAATTTTCAGAACACCTGCTACTTTCAGCAAATCATTATGGGGGAACGATCTAAAGATTTATACTAAATGTAACAGACAAGTGGCAGCTCGCCCAGAAGGTCTCTTGAGCTAATTTTAGAGAAAGTACATTAAGATAAGAACTGACTTACTGAGGAAGAAGATTGACCCCAGATCATTGCTGTCTACAGCTTCATCCTATACTATGAAATCCTGTTATTGCACTATTCAATCCGTGTAGATTCCAATGAACTTTTCAATGAGTACACGATAGATAAGACTCATGTGCCACATTAACTTGAGAGTGAGGCCCGTTTCCTAATATGAATCTGCATGATGTTTCCCTTATATGTAACTTATGGGCTTGGACATCTCCTGACAGGAATAGAAGTAAGTGAGACTCTAATATCAAGAAAAAAATGGTCACTATCAATAGGATAAGTGGTTCTGTTTTAGTCCAACAGTCCCAATAAGAATAATATTTGATATTTAAATGGTACTTAATATGCACCAAGAACTTTGTATGCATCAATTTATTTAATGCTCATAACAATGTTACAATGTAGGTGCAGTTCCCAACTCTATTCTATCTAGGCTGTTCTGTTCTTTCTGTTTCACAGCCAGGATCTTGTTGGGTTGCCCACCACCACACTAGCACCTTATCTTCATTTTAAATGAGGAAATAAGTCCAATGTACTATGTACCTTTTACATTTTTTACCTAGATGTTATTAGAGATGACTCTAGTTCTGGTGACGTTTACAGATTACCACAGCATTAGAGGGTTTCAGAATAAATAGAAGAAATCTTTTTAATTTTCCTTTGCAGTTGGAGTAACAAAAGCTGTCATGGCCTATTAAGGGGATTCGGCGTGTTGGGGCTTGGCAAATTGTCTTAGTTTGTTTCTCCTTTGCTGTGACAAAACACTCTGACCAACACCAACTTGGGGAGGAAAGGCTTTATTCAGCTTACATCTCTCAGGTCACAGTTCGTTAGGGAGCCCAAGGTAGGAACTCAGGGCAGGAACCTGGAAGCAGGAGCTGGAGCACAGGCCATGGAGGATTACTGCTTACTGACTAGCTCCCCTGGCCCCTGCTCAGCCTGCTTTCTTATGCAACACAGGCCCACATGCCCAGGGGTGGCACCACCCACAGTGGGCTGGGCCCTCCCACATCACTCAATCAAGAAGGTGCCCCATGGACATGGCCACAGGCCAGTCCAATGAAGGAAATTCCCCAACTGAGGCTCCTTCAACCCAGGTGTGTCAAGTTGACACTAAAGCTGTCCAGCACACAAGTCATGAATGGAAAAATGGAGGAAGGGAGGGGGGAGCAAGGGATTGAGGGAGGGAGGGAGAGAAGGAGGCGAGTAAGAAGGGAAGTGGACATGGACAGAAGGAATGAGTGTAGGTGAGGAAGGGTGGGTAGATGATAGATGGAGGACAGATGAGTGGGGGAGTTGGTGGATGGATGACAGATCTGATGATGTTCAACACTCCTATACTTGGACACTCAAGGTCTTGGAACATATTTTTGTTTTATATCTCCAGTTGTCAGACAAAAATAAAGTTTTCTGTTTGGAATCTGGGCACAATACATAAAGGAAATGCTGTGAGCAATGGTCACTGTGCGTCTACTCATTTGAATAGTACCTTATCAATCTAATTATGTAAAACTGATTTCACTTCTTTTTGATTTACATTAACTCCAGATTGAGGAGCAGTTAACTTTGGAAAAACTGCGTGAATGGACCAAACCCGAGAGCTTGGAAACCATTGACGTCAATGTCACACTGCCTAGGTTCAAGCTGGAAGAGAGCTACATCCTGAACCCCAACCTTGCCCGCCTAGGAGTTCAGGATCTCTTTGACAGTAGCAAGGCTGATCTGTCTGGCATGTCAGGAACCAGAGATCTTTTCATATCAAAAATTGTTCACAAGTCCTTTGTGGAAGTGAATGAGGAAGGCACAGAGGCAGCGGCGGCCACCGCAGGCATCGCTACTTTCTGCATGCTGTTGCCTGAGAAAAACTTCACTGCAGACCATCCGTTCCTTTTCTTCATTCGGCACAATCCCACAGCTAATGTGCTGTTCCTTGGCAGAGTCTGTTCCCCATAGCAGAAAGAGACTTTGGGGGCACAAGGAGGCGTGTAGAGCTTTATCCCTGAGGTTTTAATGGTGGTAACTCCACTTATCATTGCCAATAAAACCACTATCCAGAAACTGATCTTTAATTTCCTTTGTATGTTCAGTCCTGTTGGCTTTTTACACCCATGCCTCTTGGCATGGGTATCTATTTTAGTTTTTGAAACCCTCCAGGGATTGTTTTTGAGTGTACTGAGTCAAAAAGTAAAAGAATAAGTCAGATGTACAGATTCTTGACCATGCAGTAGCCCATGAGATGGACATACTGCTGATAGGCATGAGGATGCACGGCTTCTTCCAAAGTCAATTGTTTCTAATCTTGAATTAAAATAAGGCAAAAAGAAATGATGAAATCAATTTAATAGAAGCAATAAAGTACCATTTTAACGAATGGGCCTCAAATAACAATTGCTAATTAGTTTCCTCATGCTTTATGACATGAAACTATCTCATTTATTTTACAGTAGAGTTTTGGAAGCCACAATAGACAACATCTCTGGTTTTTGAAGGGAGGGTTAAAAGCAGATAGTGGGAATAAAGATGAACAATCAATGAAAGGCCCTTGTTATGAAGCTACATAGGCCTTCCCCATGATTCTGCTACACATGCCTACTGTCCTGTTATAGCCCTCTAATGTTCCAGAGTTTCATTTGAAATGTCACCTGGTCGTACCCTGCATCCTCTTTTTTAATGGTCCTTTATATATGACATATAATTTTTGTAGGATCAGAGGGAGTCAGGAAGTCAGCATTGTAGTCTCATAGATGCTAAGACAAGATGAGAAAAATATAAGAAAAACTACTGAGCAAATCAGAGGTACCAAGTTCTCTTTAACCAGTTTTCTGTGTATTTTTTGACAAAGACTCTTGACTTCCATTACATCGGTTGTCATGATGATAGGATGGTTTTTGTGCAGTGGGTGAAGGGAGAGAGGATGGGGACTCTTGGTTTTATAGAACCATTTTTCAAATGCACTTTTTTGGATGGGCCTTGGGATTCTATATTTTGTTCTTCTATGAGGCTGGTGGGAACAGGTTTCTTAGACTCTAAGCCGGGTGATCCCTGTCCTCTTCTTTCTCCCTGGTCTTGGGCAAGTCAAGGCTACATTCATAAAGGCTCTTGGACTGATAATACTAATGGACATGAAGGTTCCACAAGTTGAAAATAAAATTTTAGCAAATCACTTACTGGGAAGCTTTTCTTCCCTTTCTTCCCATACCTGCCATATTCCTGTAGCTCTAAGAGAAAAGAAAATAAGTAGCCACTGCTTTTCTTTCATTTTTTGACTCCTTCCTGTCGTTTGGATGTTGAATGTCTCCCTAACGCTTTGTCCCCAGTGTGGTATGACTGGGAGGCGATGGAACCTTTAAGAGGAGGAGCCTCAAGGAAAGTCTGTAGATCATTGTGAGGTGTGTCCTTGAAGGGGATGTAGGACTCCAGTCTCTTTCTTCTTCCCAGCCCTGACTTGAGCAGTTTGGATCCACTGCCTGCTCCTTGCCATTTCCACCTGGCTTCTCTGCCAGAGGCTGTGTGATCATAAACAGGAGTCTGACCGAGTCCAAATCGGCCTGTTCTCTTCCTAGGCTGGTTATCTCAGGCACTCGTTATACTAATGGAAAACTGACTAACATACTCCTCCAGCAAAATCCACTGTTTTTCACTCTAAATAGTGTTAATCATATAGAAACTAAGTTTCAAGTGCCTAAGCAACTCTACTCAAATCCTTTTTTTTCCACACATGAAGCAACAGATCCATTGACTAAAAGTAAATTGTTGCAGATCAAAAATATTTTTAAGCTCCAGATCAGAGATTGGACTCTGATTCTCATTTTTTGTGTGTAACACAAGGCCCCAAGATAAAATATGGAGCAAACCAATGTAGGCATCAGCCCAACAGACTGGGAAGAATTACTCCGAGAGCCATGAAAAATTGAAAACCTGGGGGCAAATCTGGCCATTGGAGCCACCTGAGCCCCAACCGCACTTAGAGTCCAGAGGAGGTAGACAAGAATCGAATGGCAGATGTGGTCACTGTTTAGGGAAAGAACAACAGAATTGGGGCTGCCAGGAGGGCAGCCTCATGTTCTTCCTCTGCATTTGCATGGCCCCAAGAGTGTGTGTGGACAACTGGTGCAACCTCACTATGGAAAACCCTATTTTCCAATCCTAGACCTGATTGCTACCTGTGGGCACATGTAGATGTGAGTGAAAGTTATCTCTGGGGGCATTACTCATAAACCTCAAATTATTTTTTCTTCTGCTTTTCAAGTATAATATCCTGTATATAACAAAGACAACTATTTGAATGGGGAGCCATGACAACATAGACCCAGACCAGTGCAAACAGGAGATGTTAGGAATAGCAGAAGACTCAGAATGTTGCAGTCATACATACAAATTGTAAAACACTACTATTTTCTAAGATCAAGATGATAAAGGCCAAGGTTAAACCTTTCAGTAGATGACTGCAAACTTTAAAAAGACACTGCACATTTCAGTAAAATGGAACCAGAAGTCCCAGAACTTAAAAATACAGTAACAAGTTAGCTCAATAGATTAGCTTAGAATCAAGAGACAGAATTTGTGAATTTTAAGATCTGATTAAATAATTATCGAATTTTAGTTTCTTTTAGAAAGTTAAATGTAGTCAACAAAACCTTCAGTATCAAAAGTATGAAAAACACAAAAGGAAAGATAAAAAACTCAAAAAAGTTAGGATGAAGATGCTTAGCAGAAGAAGAGAGGGATGGGAGGGAGGGGGAGAAGGTGAGAGGAGAGGAGGAGTCGGGAGGGGAAGAAGAGATGGGGAGGGGAGGGGGAAAGGGTAGAGAGCAGAGTAATATATAAAAAGCTAACATTTGAGCTGGAGAGATGGCTCAGTCAGTAAAGTATCTGCCCCACAAGTAGGAAGACCTGAGTTCAAATCCCCAGTATCCATGGAAAGGCCCTGTGTGGTGGTACATGTCTGTAACCCGAGCACTGGGAAGCAGGAAGAGAGACAGGTGGATCCCTGGCTAACTGGCCATCCAGGCTAGCCAATGGATAAGGTCCAGGTTCAGTGAGAGACCACGCTAAAGTCATAAGGTAGACAGTGATCAAGCTCTGGTCTCCGTATGTACACACGAACACACACATACACACACACACACACACACACACACACACACAAGAAACAAAGCTAATGTTCAAATTTTCTTCTTTCAAACTTGGCAAAAAATATCAATTCACAAAATCTAGGAACAACACTCAAATCCCAAGCAGGAAATAAAGCTTTCTAGTACATCCTAGTAAAACTGCAGAGTTCCCAAGACAAAGCTCATGAAAGCAAGCAATGAAAGTGACCAGAGACAGAGCAGCCACAGAGACAACACCCAGCTACAGTAACTGTGTGTTCTAGCTCGTCTTCAATTTCAGTGATAAAAACACTGACCAAAACCAACTTGTGGAAGAAAGGGTTTATTTGGCTTACAAGTCTTCTTTTGATTGACAGTGTGTTCTTTGTTTCTCTTTGGTTTAGTTTAGAAGTTTCCAAAGCACTTTACTATTTCCAGCAGTTGCGTTAACCACTACAGCAATCATCTTGGTGTATCTTCCCAGACCATGTAAGGACGTCGGAAATTTTTTTCTGGGGGAAGAGAATGCTAAGGAGCTGAGCCCAGATCCTCAGGAGTGGTAAGTGCATGCTCTGCCACTGAGCTCTACTATCAATCCAAGGAACATAGAACATGCAGCTTCATTTCTGCTCACAGCTTCTACATTATCATTATTTTGTTTTGTTCATTTATGTTTAGAGGTATAGTCTATATTGTTGAACATATGAGATCGAACTCATGAGCTCAAATAATCCTCTTGCCTCAGCCTCCCAAGTATCTGGCACTGCAGAGAAATGCCTCTGAGCCTGACTTAACAGTTATTTTAATTTTGAATATATTGGAAACTCTTTAGACATTATTTCTGCTGTTTAATGTGGTCGATATTTGTTTAAATCTACTACATATGCACGTTTTTCTTGTTTTTTATTTTCTTCTTTCCAACTCTGATATTCCTTGTGCATAAAGAACATTCTTTAGAATGGCTTAAAGACAAAGTCTGCCTACATCAGCGCTCTTCGTCTTTGCTATCTTAATGTATCTCGAAGGATATTTTTCCCACACATGGAATATGTTGGAGTTAGCAGACTTTGGGGCTTACTTTTCCCAGCAAATTGGAAGAATGGCTCTGTGGTTTGACTTTTACAGTGTGCTGGACAGCTGTAGCTGTGAATAGAAATGAAAAGGCAAGAAGGAGGGAAGAGATCAAGACACAACAGACAGCAGCATCAGGACAGCATGTGAAACACGAGATAGATAATCACTTAAAATGTAAATTGACTAAATGCTTCAGTTGAGAGACAAAGATGGTCAGGCTAGATTGAAAGAAAAATATGGTATTTACAAGAACTATATCTGCAGTGTAAGACTAGAAAGAGTTTGAAAATAAAAGGACATTCTATGCAATACGGTTTGAATAAGTGAAGTCCCCCACAGGCTCATGTATTAAACACTTGTTCCCTGGCTGATGGGGCTATTTGGGGACGTCCCTTAGGGGATGGGGCTACCTGTAGGAAATAGGTCACTGGTGGGGGGTGTTCTTGGGGGCTATATCTTGTTCCAGACCCTTTGTCTCTCTCTGCTTCCTGTCTGTCCAGAAGCGAAGAAAGGTGTTTGTCACATACTACCCACCCCCACAACCAAGATGTGGTACCCAAGCACATGGGGCCAAGTAACCAGGGAGTGAACCCTCTGAAACTGTCAACCAAAGTAAATCTTTCTTTCCTTCAGTTGCTTCTTTTAGGTATTAGCTGCAATGAGGAAGCTGACCACTAGCTAAGGCCATGCCATGTTGTAACCTCCTCCATTTTGGTAGAACTGTGGTGCTTCCAGCAAGTACAGTAACTTGGTTTCCAGAAGTGAAGTAACTTGTTTTTCAAGAGTCTTGTCTTCTCTGTCCTTTGGACCCAAGAAATGGCCAGCTGGGAAAGATGTTTATCAATCACCTAAGATTCTTTAACTTACTACTCACTGTTTACCCCCAGCAATGGCC